AAAGTGTGGTTTTTTATGCAGATTTTGAGAAATAAGCGATTTTTAACAAAACGAACGAAATTTTCTGATCGTGTTACGTTACACCTGATCCTTGAAAACTGATTTGTGGATCATGAGATCTGCGCAACATGATCGACAAAACCTGGCACAGATTTTTTGTTTGCATGAGTAAATATCTGATGCTGTAGTATATGACTGTTCTGTCAAAGCTTCTGGAGCTATATATGGTAAAATTCCGCAAGATTCCACTTTTGAATCTATGTTAGTCGATATTAAAGTCCTAAATCTGCAATATATGCACTATGCAAATTTTCTTGTAAAACGTTGCCACTATGTAAATCTTGATGAATAATTTCTTGAGAATGAATCATTTGAAGATTTGAAGATCAGAAGCAATATAATGTAATAGACTTAATTTATTTTTCCATTCCATTTGTGCTACAGAGAACAGATTTTTACGTAGATATCCCTTGAGTGCATAATCCATAACAAGAATATAATTTTTAGAAACATCATCTTTTGATATTCCAAAGCACCTTAAAAATGTTGGATTTTCATTGCAAATATCACAATATGATTTTAACTTTAAAAATATGGATATATTTAAAATATAATTTATCGAATTTAAAGCATGTTTACGCATCAATAAAATTACCAGATTTAAATAAATCATCAGGGGTTTCAGAATTAATGTTTAGCATCCGGTTTCAGATAAATTAAGTGACGGAATACCGATATCTGCACTTTATAGTAAAGTAGATAGTTCGCAATTACAATTGCATATAGTGCTTGATAAACTAAAGCCACCGATTTTTGAAGATACGGAAACGTGTTATGTTAGTTTAATGCGACAATGTTGGGACAAAAAACTGGAAAGACGTTCATCCGCAGTTAAAATAGTAGAATCTTTTATGGAATGATGAAAAAATTTTATTGGAATTGACCAAATCCGATGAAAGATTTAGAAATGTAATAAACCAGACACGCAATAAACAAAATGAACAAAATGAACAAAATGAGGAGATTATTTACACTAATGAAAGTCATCCGTATATAGATGAGCTGATAAACAAATATATTAGCAAATCAACATCAAGTGAAAAATTATTAATTCTGTTAAATACTAAAGAAATAATGTCTCTTGCAAAGGCTGATTCGGTTGAATAGAATAATTTATAGATTAGTTTATGTGCTAGTGTGCTAGTCACGTTATCCCTTCATTATAACATGTGGCATTTTTGATATTACTGTATTTTATTTATTTTTAATTATTGTGTTTATTCTTAGGCTTAGACTCTGTTGACTTTGTTTTATCCATATATAATTATTTTTATATTTTTTATATATTTATATAGAGAATATATTTTTCAAACTTTATGTAAATTTCACGGAGAACATTTTAATTTAAGAATATTCTCAAATTAAAAGTAATGTTCTTATGAGAACATAACACTGCATTCGACTCGATGCCAAATTTAATTATTCCGATATAAACATACATGCAATCCTTTTTTGTTATTAATTAACATAATCATCATATATTCGAGGTTTTTTTTTGATGTCTACATAATCCAAATTATTATATGTAATTATGAACACATGATATAATTGATATCATTTGTTGACATATATTAAAGAATTTGACAAAATTAACACAAATAATGCAATAAGGGCACCGGTGGGCCCACCTTCAATTGTTTAATATAAGGCCGGACCAACATAACATAATTCGGTGGTTTACATTACATTCCTCTCTCAAAAGAGGGGGGGAGGATAAAAAATTGAACTACATAGTAAATTTTTTTAAATCGGAAATTTTCGGCCTGACCTTGCTCGCCTTTTATGTTCGTTCATTTTCTCTTCGGAATTTTTCGGATCCCAATCTTAATTCCGCCCGACATTATGCTCTCCGGCCAAAATCATATATATATATCCCAAAATTTTTTTTTACTAAGATAGAGAGGGGGGAGGTCAAAAGAGGGGGTAATGTAAACCACCGAATTAAATTGGTCTGGCCTAACATTAAAATTTGCAAAGATTCTTCATGATCAACTTCACAGAATTGATTTTTGCAATGATACTGGAAAAGATAAGATGACTCAAAAGATAAAATGACATATTTTACACCCATTGTGTTAACTTATGCCCTTTGTTTGGATCATTTCGGGTACGCCACACTGCGGCTGTTGAGTGTGCATGTAGTCCAAATTTTTAGGAGTCACCGCAGCCGATTAGAATTAAACTTTTAATAACCAAATTTATTTTGTATGCTCTATTTTCATCAAATTATTTAAGCGGGAACATTTGCTCGCTTATTATGATTGTTTAAAGGATTAGATCAGGAAACTCGTAGATATGCTTTCAATTATATGTTATATAGAAAATTAGCATTTTAGGAAGTTAATCCAAAAAAGTGAGTTTTTTTCCTTTTCTTTACGGTACTCAAATGAATTAGTGTTCATATTATACGAATCGACATTAGTGATTGGATCCATCAAAACTCATGAGTCATTGGAATTTTTTGACACAATATATGTTTATGTTTATCTAATTTTTCCACTCTCATGTGTACAAATTTCTAAAAAAATGACGTTAAACAAAAATTTAAATTTAAAGGGCCTTATAGATATTTATGTAAATACGTGCTTAACTCTATAAGATTAGTTAGTAATCAAAAGGAATCATAAAAACAAATGCAAAATTTAAATGAGCTTTTTAAAATTTTATGCTTTTTTATAATAATCAGTTTATTTTTTTAACTAGTACACTCCCAAATCAAACATATATATAAACTTATCAAATATAGGTACGTACTGTATGTAATGTGCTCTTAAGAAAACTGTGATGTATGCAAATAAAAAAGTCTGAAAATTCCAAATAAACCCAATAAATATAATAAACTTTTTTACTATATAATGAGCCTACACGATAATGAATTTTTTTTTTAAAAAAATCTATTATAAAGTTTAACATAAAAATATAGAAATTACACTAAGGAACCTTTACTATAGGAACCGTCAGTTCGTTATAGAGTTGATTTTATACAATGTCAGTTAAAATTCTTTCAGAAAACGTACCTTTTAATGTTTATGATTAGGCACTACGCCAATTTTATCCCATTTTAAACAATCCCGATCAGTTTCATTCAATTCTCTGATCGTACCATCTGTACCAACTCTCATTGCAATAAATGAGGGTGAAACAGAAATAGAAGGGGACACTACATCTTCTTTAATAAGATCGATAATGGAAGCATTATTGTCATCAGTAGAAGTAACGCGTTTTATAAAATCACAACAACGTTCGACTGCTACTTGTGAAGGCTTAGTAAAAGTGAACATCTGTATAATTTGATCATTCATAAATGAAAAATTAATAATAAAATTTTAAAAGTATTTACAACAAAAAAAAATTTAAAGTATACTTACATGCCAGATATGAGGCATATCATCATAGACTTCAAGTATAACTTTAGTAGGTTTCTTAAAAGGTGATTTTTCAAAATTTTTAGTTGCATATGAAGGCAATTGATATTCATGAGGGCTCGCAGCTTTATGAGAAACTAGAATAGCTTCGTCACGAATTCTTTCATCACCTCCAACTTGCTATAATTCATTTTACATAATTAATTATATTATTAAAGTTATAAACTAATGAAATAATATTACAAAGAAGTAACTTACACATAGAATAGGCGGTAAATTCCCTAAAGACTCAGCAAGCATGGGACTAGAAATCAAAATATTAT